AATATAGTGTGTAATTTGTGGGGGGATTTTTACTTACTTTACAAATTACTGACATGGCTGCTTCACATGGGATTAACAACACAGACAATCTTTGCAATTATTACAAACAGCATGGTCCCTAGTTAAAACTAATCCTGTCAGAATAAGGCTTAAGAAAGGCTTGTTTTCTGAAACTGTGAAAATGAACTGTGGGTCATACACATAAACTGGTTTGTGTTTAATATGAAGCATGACTCTGATGACTCATAGCACAATTACTGGTTTAGGTGAAGTGTTTGAGTGAGGCTAAAACTTTTCTTTCAACATTATGTAACACATGCAGCACATTGTTTTATTAAAATACACAATGGCAAGTTGCCAAATCCACTCAAAATGTATTCAACTAGGAGTATTTAACAAAAAAAATACGTCTGAGTTTATGATTGTAACTGGTCATGAATCTAAAGCCAGTCTTACAATAAGTTTTCATATGAATGTAAACATATTCAAAGTGTGGAAAAACAACTTTTATGTACCAGTCAATATTGTAGTAGTGCTGTAAAAATCTTCGGTGTCACGATTAATTAAAGAAGACAATCAAAACCTTTTCTGGGTGTTTGATTTGATTTGATTTATTTATTTAACAGGAAAAGATTACTAAAAATCAAGCCTGACTCAGCATAATTGCTGTTTTACAGCAGGTTCCTGTTCTGCAGCACATAAAACACTCAGAATTACAGCATCACAATCACATCATTATTATTACACCATAGACACAAAGACAAACAAGCATAACACAGTATATGCTTGTATGATACAATGATTTGTGAAAAAAGGATGACAGTAAAGGTCAGCAATGATCGCTTTTTCAGAAAATCAAATCCATCAGTGATTCCAGGGATATTTTGCTAACAGACAGAAAACTGTTTGTGTTAAGCAAAGATGTGCAATGAATAAGACATAACATGTATTGGGACTGATTCTAAAAAAAAAAAAACATATAAAAAGTTTAGCTCAATATCAGTAAAATCAAGTTCATTTAAGAAATGTTTGTGTTTAAACTGGCTGTGGTGGCCATCTTGAATTGGATTGCTCCAAAAATTGTAGATGTACATCCAATAATGACTTTTTGTAAAATTTAATTCAAATCCAAGAGATATTTTGCTAACAGAGACAAAAACACTGTTTTTGTCTTTCAGCAGCTGACACTGAAGTCTCAGGGAACCATCAGAAGTCATGTTTCCCTGAAATGATCCCACAACTAATACAAGCTGTTTACCAGCAGGTTTCTCTGGAGTTCATCCCTCAGACTGCTGCTCTAAACTGCAGCCGTATTTGACTGTTGCTCATAAAAGTCAGATTGTTTGAAGTTTAAAAACAGACACATTTTGATACAAGAAGAGAGTGGAGGAAAGAAGGCCTCAGTGAAGAAGATGAAACATTCTTTACAAACTACGACTTCTCTGCCCCCTTCTGGTAAAGAATTGTTTTATCTGAAAACACTGGAGTCCTTTAAAACCCAGTTACAGCTTTTCATGCTTATTTTGTGTCATTTGTGACAGAAATGCTTTAAAATCATGATTTTATACATTTGAATAAGATACTTTTAGTTAACTGACATTTAGAGTCATTTTATGTCTCTTTTGTCTTTTATTCAATTGACTTTCTTTAATTACATTTCATTATGTTCCTGTGGTGGTTTAACTAATAATGAATTAACATAACATATAATTCAAACCTGTTACTCCACTTTTTTGATGGCTGTTGACCACAAAAGGTTAATTTGAAATGATTAAATAAAACATAAACTTTTCTTTAAAAAAATGAAGTTCTTGGTAAAATAAAAAACAAACAAAAAAATAAAATAACAAATATAAAATAAAAGCCGTGGTCTTGGATTGTTTCTTAAAATGAACAGGTTGATTGATTATGGTATTTTATCAGTTATAGGGCTCATAAAAACACATTACCTTCAAACATTCAATTACACTTTATTAAAAGTGAAAGTTGTTATAATCTCAAGGGGATAGACATGTTTTTAAGACCTAAAGTTAGAACTAGTTTAAAGGAACGGAGTACTTCAGTCCAAGGAATTAAATTATGGAATAATCTGGAAGATGGCATTAAAATGCCAGATCAGTATGCATGTTTAAGATAATGACAAAGGTTAATTTGCTGGAGAAATATGCACATGTATGAATTGTTGTTCAAGGAATTAAACTTTTATTATTTTTTTCTTTTTCTTTTTTCTTTTCTTTTTGTAATCTGCAGATAATTTTTGAGAAAAAAGGGCAGATATAATAAGAAATGTTTCTTCTGCTGCTGCCTTTCATTTAAATTGTGATTTATATTTTTGTTGCTTGTTGTTGAATTTACGTTGTTTTTAAAGAAATGAATGAAATGAATTAACAGTTTTTAAAACATCAATGTACAAAAAAGAAAGCATTCTTTTGTTTTGTACTTTTTGGAGCTGATGGTTTTATATTGAATTTCTGTATTTTGAATTAAATTTTGTTACTTTGTTATTTGAAAAAAAGGGCCAGATATAAGAATTTCTTTTCTTTTTTCTACTCCCTTTCATTTTACTTAGGATTTGTATTTTGTTGTTTATTGAATTTGTTTTGTTTTTAGATGAAATGAATACACTTATATAAAAAAAGACATATTTGAACATTTCTGTGTTTCTTTGTTGTTTTATCCATTCTTGTGACTGAATTGTGAAGCACTTTGGTCAACTTCTGTTGTTTTATGTGTTATGTAAATTTGACCTTTTGGTTTTGCTGATTCATAGTTTGTCCTTTCTGTGAGCTCACAGCACTTTGTCTCTTTTTAGGTATGGATATATTTTCATCTGAATGAAGACAGACCTGCGAACACATTTGCAAAACATTGTAACAAACAAATGCAACAATTCAGACACAACGACTGAATTATTGAGTTCAGCATTACTTAAAAAAAGATTCAGTTTATACACTAAAGTCATCTCAGGACACCGTCCAACAAAAACAAGTCAATTCAGGTCAGATTTAAGACCTGTTGAAGTCAATTCAATTAAATGATTATACCATAGTATCACACAGACATCACACTGTGAAATGCTAATTAATACGACGTTATCTTACAAAGCCAGCAGGTTCTGTTGACTCTTCCCTTCCTTCGTAAACTTTTTTTTGACTGTAAATGCAAACTAGCCAACATGTTGTGCATTCAGTATAGTTTTTCACAGTCTTTGCTGGCAAAAGAAGATTTGTTGTGTAGCAAGAAAACATTAAAAGCTGGTTAAACCTCAGTTGGCTTCATTCTGCACCAAAGAAGCACTTACATTATTGGTAGAAATAATTTCAACAAACATGTAGAGGAGAGAGACTAAAGACAGCAGCAAGTGAAGAAATGTGGCCAGTTTGTCCTTCAGCAGAGCTAAGGAATAACTCAGGAAACTCCCTTTAACTATAGGATTTATCGAAAAGGAAAGTCTTAATTCTAAACATAAAGTGACAATATCAAGGTTTTAAAATTTTCTCTTTCACATTTAAATCCTTCAGTTCAGGTCTACATAAAATATAATGGCTGTGCTCAACTTCACAAGCCCCTCTTTCACCCCTTTTCTGAGGTGGGTCTCAGATCAACTCGTTTTAAGGATGTCTCTTTGAACACTTCACACTCGTCCCACTCCAGCTCAAAGAGCAGTCCACTGTAGCTCGATAGAGGGGTTCAGCAGAGCAGAAACTTTTTATTTACAAATTCGTTAAAATATGTCAACAAGGGAAGACTTGTCCGTCCAGCCTTACATGTTGGAGCCAGAGTCTGACCCAGAGCCAGAGATTGTAGTTGGTAAATCCRGACCGTGTTTAGAAGTTCTGAAGAAATTTATTGGGGTTTGTTTATATACTGATTTAATTACATTACACATGGTATAGTATTAGGAGAACTGTAATAATTGTTAAATGTTACTATTTTGCTTAAATTGATTTTACATCGGGTAAAATAAGTATTGAACACGTCACCATTTTTCTCAGTAAATATATTACTAGAGGTGCTAATGACATGAATTTTCACCAGATGTCGATAACAACCCAAGTGGTCCATACATACAAAGAAATCAAACCATAAATGTCCAGAAATGAAGTTATTTGTAATAATGTGGAATGGCACAGGGAAAAAGTATTGAACACAT